CACACGCGAGCGTTCCCACGAGATGGCACGGGCGTCAATGTGGCGAAAACCCGGCAAACCCGTCCAGTTCTTCCTTCAAGGAAGCGAAGTAAGGACTCCTCAGTGCATATGTTCGGTAATTTGGTTGTGTGGGCGGGCTCACAGGACTTCAAGACGGCGCCCACGAGGCTCCCAAGCGAGCCCCAGGACTGCCCCATGGCACTATCTTGGGGCACGCTGGAAGTTCGGAGTCCTGGCAACGCTCAGGAGGCCCTTTGCAAACCCACGACCCCAGAGGAAGAACGGAGCGCGCGAGAGCGCCCAGCGAGAGTCCAGGAGTTCCGGCACTCCGGGGTCTGACCCCTCAGCGCGCCCGTGCAATCCTCAAGGCAGGGAGCCCAAAGGGACATGAGGCACGCCGCAAAGATGTGACGTCCCGGCGTGGCCGGGAACGGATACCCATGTCGTCAGACTGGGATCGACTTGGAACATGCCTCCTCCTCCTCCTTCCCCTCCTCCTCCTCCTCCTCTCCTCCTCCTGCTCTCCTCTCCTCCTCCTCCTGCTCATCCTCCTCCTTTTCTACTTCCTCTCCTCCTCCCTCATACCCCTCCTCATCCTCCTCTCCTCCTAATCATACTACCTCCTCCTGACCTCCTCCTCCTCCTCCCCCTCCCCCTCCCCCTCCCCTGTGGAGGCTCGGTGGCTGTGGACCACTGGCGGCGCGGAGAGTATGGGGTGGCATGGGATCGTGGGCCCGGCCTTCTGCGAATGCTCCCCGCCTCTCCGACGGCGCGGGGCGTGCGGCGTTCCGGGGGCGCTCCCCAGGGAAGAGCCCCCCTGCCTTCGACGAAGGCCGCCCCACCCCTCGCCCTGGCCCCTAGCCCTTCTTCCCCGCCGCCGAAGGCACTCCCTCCTCGGGCAGCCCCACCCCGCTCGGGTCCGCCAGTCGCACGCGGCCTCGTGGCGGCCCTCACTTGGCACCGCCGGCTTCGTATCGAGGGGCTTCGGCGGACAGGCATACGTTGGCGCTACGGTCGGACCGGGGCACCAGATCGAGGTCGGTTCGGGGAGGGCTCCCCAATGTTCTTGTGCTTGTTGGCTGATGCTCTTGTGCAGTGCGCATCCTAAAAAGGGTGCCCTTGGAGGTTCTGAGTGTTGTGGCAGGCGGAGTGCTCTTGAGGGGTACTCTTCTGTCCTTCACCGAGCGCATTCCACTACCCGCAAAAACTGCGCACTCGCAAACGTCTGAAACACGCACATGTGTGTGTGTGTGCATCGATGCGATGTCTCGTAAGTTCCCCGCGGCGGATCCGGGCCATTGGCGAGCAGTTGCTCTGCGAGTCGTGCCTGTCCAGTCTACCGCGCAGCAGGGCGTAGCGGGGCGGCCGCACGGGGGCAGCCGCGTGGAGCGATCCTGGCGCGAGCGGCGGGCAGCCCTGAGCGCCCCGCCCGCTGCGGTGGGCCAGCGCGGGGGGGGTGAGCAGCGAGCGCGGGGAGGGTGGGGGCAGGGGGGGTACCACCCAGAGGTCCGAGGAGGCGATGTCTTCAATCCGGCGGTGCTTGTCTTGGATTTCGGCCTCCAGGGCCCGTTCTCGGGGCCGGGGACGATCAAAAGTGGATTTCCGGGACGAAAAGACACCCCCGGGCCAAAAGGGGTCGGGACTTCTAGGGCCGCGGATTGGAAAAGTCGTATCGGCGGAGGTCTGGGCATGAAGAGGGGGGAGCGGTTGGATGGGAAGGGGGAGTGTTTCTTCCTCCTCCTCGCCCTTCTCCTTCTCCTGCATCGCTTGTCCTTACAGATCGCTCCTCCCTGTCGCACCCCCAGGCGTGTCGGTAGAGCGGTCCAGGCGTTACTCCTTGGACCTTTTCCTTCCCCAGCAGCTATGACCCCGAAGCCTGAAGCCTGCGACAGATACAAGGTGGAGCACAGGTCGTTTTCAAAATCGAGCTCTCGCATCAGCGCCGTGCACAGTCGTCTTAACAGTTTCCAATAGCATCATGGGCGGATGGGGCCGCTTTTAGAATGGAGCTCTCGCCTCGACGCCGCGAACATTCGTCTTGCAAGCTGGCAGCCGTTACAAGGATGGAACGCGGGCCGTTTTTTCAAGTCGGAGCTCTTGCCTTGGCGCCGCGCACATTCGTTTCAAGAGCCTGCAACAAGTACAAGCCTTCGTCTTTCCGAGGCGGATTTATAGACAACCACCGCCTGAAGGATCGCCTCTTCTTGTTTCAGTACGTCCCCGCTCCCACCCCCTGGGCCGCGCACGTGCCGCCGGCCATGATTTGCCCCTCCCCCCCCTTCTTGGACGCCCCCCTCTTGGCCGCCCCCGAAAATTCGGCGGCGAGCGAGGGGAGGAAGCGAGAAGGAGAAGGCCTCCTCAGACGGCGGCGGAACTCCTCAGAAGCCCTCCGGCCTTCCGAGAAGCTTTCTTGTGCCCTCGGGGGAGGCTTAGGAAACTTCCCAGCAGGCCTGGGGACGTCCCCTTCTCACTTCCCCCCCAGGCCCGCCGCCCATACATGGGAGGTGAAGCACACGACCCCAGAGGGGTCCTGTAGATCCGCTCGTGGAGCCAGCGGGGGCCCAAAGGATGCCCTGACGAGCCCCCTTCAGGGTTTTTCCTTTGTCACCCCCCGCTATCGGGGGTGGACAGACCTCCTACCCTGACACGTCGATTAAGGAATTGGCCGTTTTCTGTTCGCGAGGGGGCGTCGCGGCCGTCATTTTTGCGGGTCCAGGTCCGTCGGTTTCGCTCCCAAGCCGCTTTCACTACAGGGAGGTTTACTAAAGGGAGGTTTGTCCACCACCGACACTACCACCCGCCCAAAGCATTTCGCCAGGGTGTTACCCCAGGGTGTGCTTTGCGATCGGCGCCGTTGGGTCGGCTGCGCGTAAGAGTGAGCCTTCGCCGGAGTGACTTTCGGTGCGGGCACGCAGGGGTCCCCCCAGGGCTTGTTGGCGCGCTTGGATTTGGACTCCCGCAGTCCCCTAAAACCGTGCACCAAAGGTCACTCTTGCCTAGTGTCATTCTTGCGTGTAGTCGAGTGGGCCTTGCAGGGCACCGCGTTACCCTCGTCGGGCCGCCTCGGGGTGCGGTGGAAAACGCTGCCGAGGTTCTCGCCCGCCTCCCAGGGTGCGGGTTGCAAACCACACCCTTTGCAAACCACGCCCATGGGGGTCGCCGAACCAAACCCGCGACCAGGTCTTCGCCGCGGATCGTTCTTCAATGGTCCCAGGGCCCGAGAACTTCCTTGGAGTCCAACACGCCGTGGTTCTTTTCCCGACGCCTGCCAGTGGCGGCTCACCATAACCGCGTCGGGCGAGCCGCTCGCGATGCCGCGCAGCACGTCGCACGGAGCGCAGCGAAGGAGTTCGTCATCGGCATGCCGCACAGAGGGCGGCTCAACGTGCTGGTGAACGTGCTGGGCCACCCGACGATCTGCCAGGGGAGGAAGGGGAGGGGCAGAACAAGCACAGTCAGAACTCGTGGCATGGATGTAATTCAGGAGGGAAAAAACACACACACAGACACAATTAATCGTCGATTCCCCTGAAAATATGTGAAAATATGGGAAGTGGGGGGGAAGACAAAAACCCAGAAAATATGGGAAAATATGGAGGATATTGTTATTTGTGTGTATTTATTTGTGTGTCCTGGGGCCCCTTCAGTAGTCAGTGTCCAGCGATGCTGCCCCTGCACCCTTTCAAGGCCCTCCAAAGGGGCACTTCGACAAGCCGGGACTCTGGCGCGCCCGATAGCACTGCAGCCACGCGTCGAAAGACGTCCTCTCCGGGCGGGATCTCCCGAAGTCCCGGTTGGCAGCGTGCTGGTTCTGTGGGCCCCTGGTCTCAGTATCCTTTAAACGATCCCCATCCCCATCCCCATCCCCTTCGAGACCCCCACCAAATTACCACCCCAGTTGGGGATACACCCCTCGAAACCCGAAGGGAACGACCTATATCCCCATCTAGGGGGGTAAATCGGCCAGTGGGGTCCAGGCCACGCCACAGGGGATGGGGATCGGTTAAACGATACTCATGGTCCTTGCCCCTTCGACCCGTCCCCGTAACATGTTGCCCATGCCTCGCCCCACTGCGTCCTTCGGCCGAACGTAAGAACGGCCTTTCGCCAGAGTGACCCTTGGTGCGGGGCCTGGGGGCTCCACAGACGGGGCCAATGCAAACTGGGGTCAGTCAGAGCGCCGGGTCTTGCAGGATCCTGCAGGGCCAGGGGCGCACTGACACGTGCTTGGGCGCAGGATTCGGCAGGGCCTTGCAGGATCTTGCAGGATCCTGCAAGGCCTGCCTGACCCGGGTCTGGATCGACCCGGGTCAGTAGATCCCCGAGGCCTAACAATATGGCCCCCCGATCTCTGAATGCGGTGCGAAAGCAGCGGCTTGCGCGCCTGGCGGTGTCCCCAAGGGGCACCCCCCATGGGCCGCGCACCAAAGGCCACTCTTGCCCAGGGTCACTCTTGCCCATTCTTTCTTCTGGCATCAGGTTGACTCCTCAGGTGCAGCATCGGCCTTCACCCCCTTCAATTGGGGCTGCGGATCTGCATCGCCACCTCTCTTCCGACTCTGCTCTTGATGCGAATGGCTCGCGCGTGAGGTAGCACCATGCTGATGGAAATGCTTTCGTGGACGAGAAAATCTTGCCCAGGGTCACTCTTCATTGTACTTAGCCGAGTCCTCACTGTGACCCCCTCCTCCTCTCCTCCTCTCCTCACTCCTCCTCCTCCTCCTCCTCCTCCTCCTCTCCTTCCCCCTCCTCCTCCTCCTCCTCCTCTCCTCCTCCTCCTCCTCCTCCTGCCTCCTCCTCCCTTCTCCTCCCCTCCTCCTCCTCCTCTCCTCCTCCTGCCCCTCCTCCTCCTACCTTCTCCTCCTCCTCCTCCTCCTCTCTCCTCTCCTCCTCTCCTCCTCCTCCTCCCCCTCCTCCTCTCTCTCCTTCTCCTCCTCTCTCCTCCCCTTCCTCCTCCTCCTCCTCCTCCTCCTCCTCCTCCTCCTCTCCTCTCCCTCCTCATCCTCCTCCTCCTCCTCCTCCTCCTCTCCTCCTCCCCTCCTCCTCCCCCTCCCTCCTCCTCCTTCTCCTCCTCCTCCTCCTCCTCCTCCCCTCTCCTCCCCTCCTCCTCCTCCCTTCTCTCCTCCTCATCCTCCCTCCTCCCCCTCCTCCTCTCCCTTCCCCTCCTCCTCCCTCCTCCTCCTCCTCCCTCCTCTCCTCCTCCCCTCTCCTCTCCTCCTCCCCTCCTCCTCCTCCTCCTCCTCCTCCTCCTCCTCCTCCTCCTCCTCCTCCTCCTCCTCCTCCTCCTCCTCCCCTCCTCCTCCCCCGAACCCCTCGGGGCCTGCCGCGCTCCGGCCCTCCTCCCTCCTCGGTGGCTTCGCCTCCGCCGCTCGCGCCACAGGGCGCGCTTCCCTGGGCAGCCGAGCCCCCCCGCGGCTCCGTGGCAGGGAGGCCTCGGGGAGTCGCGTGGCGGAGGAGGAGGAGGAGGAGGAGGAGGAGGAGGAGGAGGAGGAGGAGGAGGAGGAGGAGGAGGAGGAGGGGGAGGAGGAGGAGGAGGAGAGAGGAGGAGAGGAGGAGGAGGAGAGGAGGGAGAGGAAAAGGAGGAGGAGGAGGAGGAGAGGAAAAGGAGGAGGAGGAGGAGGAGGAGGAGGCCCGCGCAGCCGCACGGTTGGCACGAGGGTCAAGAACATGCTCAGCCTTGGAGGGGCACTTGCGATGCCTGTTCATGGGGGCCTCCGGCCGCGACGCTGCAATCCGCTCTTCCTGGATCTGCACCGCGCAGGGGCCGCATTTGGCCCAGCCTCCTGCTCCTCCTCGCCCCTCCTGTTCCCCTCAACCCTCCTCGTTCTTCTAGTCCCCGCGAATCCAATCCAAATCTGGTCCGAATCTGGTCCAAATCAGGCCCCAATCGGACGCGCCGGGGGCCACGCAGGCCCCCATGGAACGCACACCAAAGGCCCTCCTCGATGTTTGGGCCGTCCACCTTGGAGCTCTCGTCGCCTGGGACATCTCCACGGGGCCTGGGGGCTTCGGCGAAGACACCCACGGCAGGCTCGTGCCGTGTCGACCGGCGGCGACCCTGCCAGCGGCATGCAATTTTGAACGCCGCGGGCGACCCAGAATCGTCCGATGTGGAACGCTGTGGACGTTTCGGAGGGGGCCGACCGTTCAAGTTTGAGCGATCCCCGCGGTGTCAGGAACCAGCGCCGGGGACGACACGGCGCGAACCTGCCGCCCGTGCCTGTGGACACGTTCCGACCTGGCCCACAGGAACCGACCTTTGGTGGCTCTCTCGACGGCGGGGCCCACTCGTGGGGGCCTCGGCCCGCCAGGCCACACCCACTCGAGGGGGCCTGGCCTACGTTCTTGCGAAGGGGGTTGATGCAGTAGGTATTTCCGCAGGGCCGTGCCACTCGTGGGGGCCTTGCTACCCACTCGAGCGGACCTGGCCCACGTTCGAGGGAGGGAGGGAGGGAGGGAGGGAGGGAGCGAGGGAAGGAGGGAGGGAGGGAGGGAGGGAGGGAGGAGGGAGGGAGGGAGGGAAGGAGGGAGGAGGAGGAGGAGGAGGAGGAGGAGGAGGAGGAGGAGGGAAGAGGAGTGAGGAGGGAGGGAGGGAGGGAGGGGTATGGGCGACGAGGAGGGGATACCGGTATCCAACTTCATATCCATCCTCTCTCCTTCTCTTCCTCCTCCTCCTCCTGGTTGCCTGGGTGTTGGATTCCTGGTTGCCTGGATTGCGCGGTTTTCGAATTCCTGGTTGCCTGGATTGCGCGGTTTTCGAATTCCTGGTTGCCTGGGTTTCGGATTCCCCGGCCCCTGGGAATTTTGAGAATTTCGAAATTTTCGAAATTTTTGAAATTTTCAAAGTGTTTGGAATTTTCGAAATTTTCGGAAAAAAAAAAAAACACGAAATTTTCAAACTTCCAAGGGGTTCGGGTTTTCTGGGATCCTGGTCGCGTGGCTTCTCGGAGGAGGGGGGGGAGGAGGAGGAGGAGGAGGAGGAGGAGGAGGAGGAGGAGGAGGACGCCCTCGCAGCGGGCCGTCTTGGGATGATTTTTGGACTTGGCGTAGAGTGTGGAGTTTTCGGGCAGTGGAATCGCGGACGCCTCTCGAGGAGATCTCAGGGATGTCGGGATTCCTTGCGCGGTTTTCGAATTCCTGGTTGCCTGGGTTTCGGATTCCCCGGCCCCTGGGAATTTTGAGAATTTCGAAATTTTCGAAATTTTCGAAATTTTCAAAGTGTTTGGAATTTTCGAAATTTTCAAAAAAACGAAATTTTCAAACTTCCAGGGGTTCGGGTTTTCTGGGATCCTGGTCGCGTGGCTTCTCGGATTCCCCGACCAATTGGAATTTTGAAAATTACAAAATTATTGAAATTTTCGAAATTTTCAAAGTGTTTGGAATTTTCGAAATTTTCGAAAAAAATCGAAATTTTCAAAGTTCCAGGGGGTTCTGGTTTTCGGGGATCCTGGTCGCGTGGCTTCTCGGAGGAGAGGGGGAGGAGAGGGAGGAGGAGGAGGAGGAGGAGGAGGAGGAGGACGCTCTCGCAGCGGGCCGTCTTGGGATGATTTTTGGAGTCTCTTGGGCTGTTTTGGGCAGTTCTTGGCTTCAAAAGGTGAGAATCCGAAAGCCCTTCCAAAACCATGGAAACATAACTCACCTCTCTCGCCCGAGCTGCAGGACCCGATTTTGCATCTTTGGGCCAATGGTGTAGAGTGTGGAGTTTTCGGCCGAGGCTCCTATGGCCCAGGGTTTTTCACCCCCCCGCGGCGGCTAAAACGCGCAAGCGCGCACTTTTCGGTAAAAAGTGTTTCGGTGCGTGGCCGAAGTTTTTGATGGTTCTGGAGGTCTCTTGAGGGCTTCCTTGGGGAGCTCCGAGGGCACTTGGGGCCGTCCTGGGGCGGTATTGAGAGCTCTTGGGTGCATATTGATAGCCATCTTGAACCATATTGGGCTATCTTGCACGATCTTGGAGGTCATCTTGGACTCTCTGAGGCCCTCTGGGAGCCATCTTGGGCCATCTTGGGCGCCCTGACCCCTCGCGGCACCCTCCCTCCAGGCCCAGAGGGGGGGGGGGTAGGGGGGGGAACCCCCTCCCCGAAGGGGAAGAAGGGGGTTTAGCAGAACAGGCTCTTTAGACCACTCACGCCCTAAAGGGCTGGTGGGGTTCACTTGTACTTTTCAGTATAGCAGATCACAACGCGGCACATCGTATGTCTCATGGCACGGCAGTGCATATCATAGCGTACTGCATCGCCGAGCAGACATCGTCACATGCGATATTATGTCATGACATAACACAATATTGACATAGCATTGATTATGCATTGTCTTTGTGTTGACTTGAACTTGTATTCAGTCGTGGCTCGGACCCAGCCTCGCTGGCCTGGCCACAGCCAGCACCGCCCCGCCAGCG